GACGTATGTGGGCCTTTCATTGAATCGAAATCAGGAAATCGATATTTTGTGCTTTTCAAAGACGACTTCAGTAAATTTAGATACATCTACTTCATGAAAGAAAAATCTGAAGTTGTTGACAAACTAAAAATAATGTTAGCTGAAGCCAAAGTCCGAGGACACATAGTCAAAGAAATGCTCTGCGATAACGGAGGTGAATTTACCAGCAGAGAAGTTCGAGATGTCTTACAGCAGAATGGAATCAAGCAAAGGTTAGTCATGCCCTATACACCTGAGCAAAATGGGTGTTCTGAAAGAGAAAACCGCACTGTTGTAGAGACAGCAAGGGCTCTTATGCACGCTAGAGATAACATACCACAATTTCTTTGGGCTGAAATGATAAATACTGCCGCATATATCCTAAACAGATCAGGTGTCTCTAGTAAAAGTAACGAATCTCCCTTTGAAGTTTGGATGAAAAAGAAACCGAACCTGAAGCACTTAAGAGTTATAGGGTGTACCTGCTATGCACATATACCAAAACCACGTCGTAAGAAAATGGACAAGAAAGCTGTAAAAGGCATATTGCTCGGCTATGACAACGATGATGGATATCGCGTATGGTGTAAAGAAACTAAGCAACTCATAAGATCAAGAGATGTCATCTTCGAAGAACAACCTTTAGTCGGATTTAATGAATTCTCGAAGATCCGAAGAGAAACAGAAATTGAAGGTGTTGAAGATGAACAATCAAACTTAGAAAGTTGCTTCGAAAACGATGAAAACTCAATTACATTAAGCACCGAAGAAATAGAGGAAGACGATATAGACGTAGAAAGTTCAGAACAAAGACCTTTGATTGAAAAAGACAGTTGAGGAAGCGTGAAGAGATAAAACCACCAACCAGGTTTGAAAATTTTGTAATGGAGGCCTATGCAACATTTGTAGAATACAAAGAACCACCACAAAACTTTCAAGAAGCTATACAAAGCGATTTTAGTCATAAGTGGAAAGATGCAATGGACAAAGAGATAAGCTCCTTGTCAGAAAATGGCACTTGGGTTCTGCAAAATCTGCCTCATGGAAAAAAAGCCATTCCCTGTAAATGGGTTTACAAAATTAAAACAAACCCGAATGGTTCTGTCGAAAAATTCAAAGCCCGATTGGTGATAAAAGGATTCTCTCAGAAATACGGCGAAGACTACGATCAAACATTCAGTCCTGTTGCTAAATCGGGGACTATAAGAGCTCTTCTAAGTATTGCTGCGAGTGAACAAATGAGCCTAAGTCAGTTTGATGTCTCCACCGCATTTCTCTATGGACACTTAGAAGAAGAAGTGTACATGAAACAGCCGGAGGGATATCAAGATGGAACAAGTAAAGTATGTCGCCTTCAACGCAGCCTTTATGGACTCAAGCAGGCACCAAGATGTTGGAATAAGAGAATCGTAGACTTCCTTCTAAAACAACATTTTAAGCAATCTGATGCCGATCCATGCTTGTTTATCAAAAAAGAGGGGACAGATATTCTTCTCTTAGGTCTATATGTTGATGACGGACTTCTGGCAACCAGTAATAAAATTTTGGAAAAGGAATTTTATACGAATTTGGAGAAAGAATTCAAAATTACAGCGAAGACAGCTTCCTATTTTTTGGGGTTAGAAATTGACACTGACAAAAATGGTTCTATTCGTGTCAGTCAGACAGCTTACATAAAGAAAATTTTAGAACACTTTGGAATGCAAAACTGTAAAGCTGTGTCTACACCAATTGTCAAAGGAACTAACCAACCAGGGAAGGTAGATCAAAATGAAGAAGAAAAATTTCCTTATAGGCAAGCGGTTGGAGCCCTAATGTACCTTATGGTAGGAACTAGGCCAGATATAGCGTATGCCATCGGAATTGTATCAAGATCACTAGAAAAACCAACTCACAGTGACTGGATGCAAGTGAAGAGGATTTTTAGATATCTTAAAGGTACAATGGAACTTGGAATTACGTACACAGCTAATAGTAAGAAGAGATACCTACAAGGGTACAGTGATGCCGACTATGGAGGAGATGATCAAACAGGAAAGTCAACTACGGGTGTTGTCTGCAAGTATGCCAATGGTGCTATCTCCTGGCTAAGCCAAAAGCAGACATCTGTAGCTCTTTCTACAACAGAGGCAGAAATAGTAGCCGCCAGCGAAGGAGCCCGAGAACTAATTTGGCTAAAACGTCTTTATAACGAGATAATTGATCTGCAGTGTATTCCGGATCTACTAGTTGATAATGAAGCAGCTATTAAGTTAGCAAAAAATCCGGAATATCATAGAAGAACAAAACATATCCAAACAAGACATTTTTTTGTTCGAGAATTGGTAACCGAAGGCTCCATTAACGTAGAAAATGTTGATTCAGAACATCAGTTAGCTGATATGCTGACAAAACCTCTTTCAAGACCCAGGCTCGAATATTTAATGAAGAACATTGGCCTAATAATAGAAGATAATAAATTATTCAATGAGGGAAGGTGTTGATGTATCTACATTTACATACCCTTATTATCTACAGACTATTACTTTGATTTGTATTTTGCTTTTGTTCTGGTAGTTAAGGTTTTTTAACTTATTGATTGATAACTTTTTTGATTAAAAGTATTACGAAAAGTCATTCAAGTTTTCTTTTTCCGAAATAGTAGATAAAATAACAGTATCCACTGGAAAACATCAATAAAAAGTAATTGTTATTAATATTATATTCATAACAAAAAAGTCATATTTTGTTTTCACTTCATTAAAAATGCACCTACCTACCTTTTAAAACATTTTATTTTATATTCTATTTGGTCAACATTTTCGCATTTAAAATGACCCAGCGAAATTGTTTTACGGTACGCTACTGCTGAGAATTCTAAAACGAGTGAGAAAGCCTTCATTAGAAAGAGAGATACTGATTATATGATAGCGAGATTAATGTTGTATAACTTTATGCAGTGGTGGCCTATCTGCTATTATATTATCTAAGGACCATTCTTCGTATAGTAAAAGAAAATCAAAGTATGTGGTTTTAATCATCCGCTTCTGCTTCGGAATTGTTGGTTTTCTTGTTTTAATCTGATAGATTAAAACGACTAAACCGACAATTCCGGAAGCAGAGGCGGATGATTAAAACGCACCTGATATTTTGCTTGCTGCTGTCAGTGAATATTATTTTTGGAGTCACAGTTTATTGCTAAAGAATCAGTTAGCTCACTCGGGCCAGTTGAAAGTTTCAAAATAACATCCACTCCAGGGATACAAATTCAGGATACGCAGAAGACTGCTGCTTTATTATAAGGCGAGTTCGGTCAGTCAGGGGCTGGAGCGGGACAAATTTTAGGGTGCTTTTAAATGACATTTAAGCGTGTTAAACTGTCACTAATCGGACTAAACCGAACGCTAAAAGAGTCGTTTGGAGTTAAAAGTGTTAAAGGAGTTAAAGGAACGTGGCAAACCGAACGCAATGATAGGCGGTTGTCATATGTTGTATTATCCGTGCTGCGCAGTCACATACTTTGATTTTTGCGCAGTATATAAACTGGAACATTGAGATAAAAGTGCCGACGCAGAGTGAGCGATCTGATTCTTTAGCTCTAAACTGTGTCATAGGAATCAAAATGGCCGCGCCCTATGTTGGGCGTGTCGGACCTCTCTCTTGCTCCGTATAGTAATCAAAGTATGTGTTCGACATACACCACTGCTTATGCGAACCTACGAACATGACTACCAACATATAAACTATAACTAACCGTAGAACAACTAATCGTAGAACACTTAGAAGCATACCAAATAGAAGAGGGAGATCTATCTAACAAAGCTTATTCCAAATCCTACACTTCCTTGACAAACTAGGATTGGAATTTCCTTACTGTATTAGCAACAAGGAGGCACAATAGATCTTTTAGGTCGCAGTGTATTAACACCCGATTTACAACATAACGTAAGAATTTTAATAGATTTTGTCGATTTTAGACTCTTGAACATAAAAGTGGAGAAGAATAAGTAATCAAAGGCTTAAAGTATAATTTATAACCACCGTAACGTAACTTAACTTAACGCTGTAGAAACTTAACCTAACATATAAAAATAAAGTATATTTATAAACGTCCGTAACGTAAGAGTTGAGCATGCGTGTTGATTTCAGAGATTATTAAATTACTGACAACCTTATGAAATAAACAAGTGTAAACTATGTACCTAACCTCTAAATAAAACTTATAAATTATAATTTTGCTATATAGAAAGAATATTTTAACTACTTTAAAAGCAATAATATAAAAATATAATAAAACAATAGTTTACCGAAGATGTTGATTGTTTTTGAGCAATAATGAGAATTTAATCTTTCCTAGCAAACTAGTTTTGTGTCTTATTTCAGTTCTAGACTTGATATTTATAGGTATATGCATCAACACTCATATCTCATAAATAGTTTATTCCCAATAACATAAACACAAATCATTCATGATAATGTATGTCCATCAAAAAGGAGAATGATAGTTTACAAATGGTATTTGTCTAATCATTTATAAAAAAAAATAAAAAGAATAATTGACAGTTATCACATGCTGAACTCAGAATTATCTCATTGGCTAACCGTAAGGTCTTAAGTTAAGTTGTTAAGTTAAAAGTTGGCGAACTTTCTACGGTACGTTAAGTTCTTAAGTTACGTTACGAACAGTATAAATAAGTATACGTAAATTCAATATTTCAACTTCTTACGTTAAGTTCTTAAGTTACGTTACGGCGGTTATAAATTAAGCTTAAAGGTTAATGGAAGCAATAAAACAAGATTTTGTTTTTGTTTCTATAGACATTGCAGTAATTCTAAGATCTTTAGATTTAATAAAAATCCGTATATACAAGTACCTTCTATATACAGTTACAATACAAAATTTTGGTATACATATCCTTTTAAAAACTGTACAAAAATATACAAAGATTAAAAACAAACATAAAAATTTTATGGGTAAAGTAATAAAATAATTAAATAAATAGGTGTAAATTAAATCATAAATAGGTGTAACAATAAATCTTAAATAGGTGTAAAACTAAATCATAAATAGTAAAACTAAATCATAAATAGTAAAACTACAGAAGAAAGGACAATTTGTTGTTCTTCTTCTGTGTTAGAACTAAATCATAAATAAATTTAAAACTAAATAATACTTTGTGAATGTAATTTAAGTGTTTTCATTACTCGCTGTCTTCACAAATTCATTTTATTTTAAATTTAAATTTAATTTCTGTATAGGTCTTTATTATTTCTTTAGGGTTATTCTATTAGGTAAGTATCAAAAGCTTAAATTTAAGCACTGTTATACAAGCAAAAGTTAAATACCAAAAAACCTTGGATTTAGCAGCTAATGAATTAATGTTTCCCCCTAATGTTTGGGATGTTGGATGAGTTTTTGATCTGTAGCTACAATGTACCTTTTCTTTCTTCTCATATTCTTGAAATTCTGGGAGTTTTACAATATGATCATCATTCTAAAAATAAAAATAACGAACATATTTAATAACAATAAATAATAGTAAATTTTGGCAAAAGTATCCAAATATAACCAATGAATAATTTTTATCTGTAAACTTTTTTCACTTCTTTCATGTTGAAATGTTTCAATTCAGTTTTTGGCAAACAAAAAGTCACTTTCAACGAGTAACTAGGTTCGTATTGCATATGCAGAAATGAACAAGTAATAGAAATAAAAAATAAAAAAACCGACTTCAAAAACATGCAGATGCCATCACCACATCTTAACCAAATTTATATGGGGCCACCCCTGAGGTACCCCCGTACTAACAAAAAAAGAATATTATAAATCGGACAAGACACTCCTGAAAGTTTGGGTACATACTCAAGCATCTTCCAGTTGCAAGTTACTTTGGCATTGAATTCGTTAAAATGCCTTATTGTCATAACTGCAGTGTTTTTTGGCATGACTAGTAAATAAATAATATCTCTCATAATATAAAATATGTATAAAATAATTAAGATGTATTGAAGATTGTAGCTTTAGCTACTACTTTGGTAAGAAAATACTTACCATCGCTAAACTATCTGTTCTTTTTCTGCAAAAAGTGAAGTGTAATCCTTTATAAAAAAACTTTTCCATAGTTTTGGTAAACATTGTATCATTGTAAGGCATGTTATGTAGATGTTCTGTAAATGTCAAGTTTCTAAATTCTTGCGGTTCTTTAATAACTAACTTATCGAAAATGTTTTCCTTTTCATCTTCATCTATGAGTTGGTTTTTTGCGTTTTTAAGAGATACTGTAACTTTTGCATTTTTTTCCGAAGAAATTTCCTCAATAGATTTGTTATTAAAAGATTTAGAGATTGCCATGGTGTTTGTAGTTTTACTGTCAACTCTAAAAGTAAAAAAATAATAAAATAATATGAACATATTGTTTATTTACATTTTAAAAGTTTGAAAATGGCTCTTATATTCATATAGAAATTCATTCTTCAAATAGTTGGAACAATTATTTGTTCTACTGACAAAGAACTTATACAGGGTGTTAGTTTATTCGACTGACACCAAGAGTTCTTGTTAATTGATGAATTTTAATATAGGTACATGAACCCTTAAATAGATTAGTTACCGAGATAGTTTTAAATTAAAATTAAAAATATGCCAAAAATCAAAACCATCATTATTAAGCTATTGCATAACTTTTATCGCGGGCTTTGAACGCGGCGACCGAATCAAGAAATTCCATAACGAAAATAAACCTAACACCCCCACTCCGACCGGCACAGCGGTGCGGCGTTGAAAGCCGTGGAAGGTTTTATCCGACCATATTCGTATTAGTATGAAGCGGAGTTAAATATACTGCGGACTGAAACGTTTATGCAATACAAGAACTAGAAGAGCTTTCTCTGGCTTCTAATAAATTGGTATCACAAATGTTCCCGGCTGGCGTAAATATTAGATATTAATTTTGTTTTACAAGATTTATAAAATATTAATTTTTATTTTATCAGTGTTAACTATTTCATTATTAAGCTATTGCATAGATTTTATCGCGGGCTTTGAGCGCGGCGACCGAATCAAGAAATTCCGTAACGAAAATAAACCTAACGCCTTCGAAAAATCGAAAAAGAAATTCCGTAGCGAAAATAAACCTAACACCCCCCACTCCGACCGGCACAGCGGAACGTCGTGGAAAGCCGTGCATCGTCTAACGTCATTTCAGTTCGGCAGACTTCGGCACGGTGTTTGTGTGCGTGCGACTAGACGTATGCGTGTAGACTAGCTGCTAACTGCTCATAACTGATTCTATCTCTTTTAGACACAATTTCGGAAAAATTGAATTTGAAAATGAATAATGATCCACAACAAAATATGGGACCACCATTGACGCAGTATTTTCCAGATATTTAGAGGATATCAAGTCTCAAACTTATGTTTCTTATTTCAGTTACCATAAACCTATAGTTTCAATGATAAAAATTCCTGAATAACCTACCTGTATTGTAAGATAATAAAAATATTTTAAACAATATTAACTTCTCATTTATTCAATAAACGAAAAGAATCTGTTTTCTTATCGGTCACCACGCTCAAAAAGTGTAACTTGAATTAATATCAAAGAAAAAAAAATACTGCATAAAATAAATAAATAAATAAATAATTATAATTGCATAAGTTGATAAAAAATGCTATGCAATAGCTTTACCGCGGCAGTCCCCGAGTGCCACACGTACTTTTTTTTTTATTTGATATACCAATATCTTGTAAAATACACGAACTATTAAAAATTTTAAACGTTTCTACTAGATTAGAATTTATAAGTATTGGGCCGTTATAAATTATCTAAGTACATATAGACTTTTGTTTACGAACAAATTTCTGCAACGCCGTTCATTTTAGCTCTATAAACGGTTCTTATTTTTTTGACTAAAAATAAACAGAAAATTAAACAAAAATAATAATAACAAAAATGTTTCTTCAAGTGCCGTAAGAATAGGGAAAAAACATTGATAGCGCGCCACTGGTTAAATTTTTCAAAAGTTGGTTTATGTCAAAATATTAGTTTCTTCAAGAGCATATTGGTTACCAAATGTGAAAAAAGTCGTTTTTGATTTATGGCAAATTTTGATTTCAAACTTTTGACAGCCCATATCTCGGTAACTAACCCCTTTACGGGTACATGTTCCTATATCAAAATTCATCAATAATTAACGAGAACTCTCGGATATATCGTTGTCGGTCAAATATATACTAACACACTGTATAAAAAACTATAGATTTTTCTGTATCTATTTACCTAACATAAAAAAAAGAAGATATTCTAATAAGCACCTTTATATGATCTGATTTATTACTTACTTTCCTTCTAGAAGGACTTTCTCGATTTCACCCATATTTTTTTCGTAAAATTCTTTAATTCCCAAATTCTCAAAAAAGGTTTTTACTGGAGGCATGGAATAACATCCAGCTAACGGCGTCCTTGGGTAGTGTAATATAAATGCAAGGCACATTTCTTCCTGCGTAGAATATCCTCCCAGTGTCGGCTTGTTCCGATTTAAAGTTGAATATGTGCATTCAGTGATAAGGCCATCTCCTGGTAGAATAGGGATGTCTTGGGATAGAACACGGGATTGCTGGTAGTTGAAATCGTAATGATTATCCTTGAAACAATAATTCTAGTGAAAATATCTATAGGAGCATTTAAGTGTATACTTATTCTACATCCCAATAATGGGTAAGACCGTAATTAGGGAGTCATGTAGCGCACGGCAGCGCCAATGTTAGTCACCTGCTAACTTATATTAAAAAAAGTTATTCGATTATTCACAACAGATTTTAATAAAAACGAAAAATGATAGTTTCACTATCTAATTTCCTCCCAAACGCAAGAGATGCAGCATATTCCAAACTGTAAAAACATTTTTCTTTTTTTTTTAAGTTTAAACTATTATTTGAGTTAGTATAGTCTTCTGGTATAGAACATTAAGAAAGTTAATGTTCTAACATATATTCTGCAAATCAAGAATTTCCATATTTCTTTGAATAAACTGAATTAATTAAAAAAAAAAGGATTAGCATCTTGCTTGGAAGTATATGCCAAAAATGGCGTAAGTTAAAAAAAATAAATTTCCTACATGAAGATCAGCCAATAAAAAACTAAGATATAAAATTTAGGGCCAATTGTTTTTAATAATTGCTTGACTTAATTAATATACTAAAAACTTTTTCACATTTTACTTATTTATTAGAAGTTATTTAAAATTAATTTACCTCAGCTAATGGTGTTAGCTCTTTTAAACCTCTAACGTGCCTTAACTTCATTTTTCTAGCTGCCAAGTGTGAATGTAACATCACAGAAACAACATTGATGCCCTCTTTAGGAATAACCTATAAAAAAAGTGAATGTTTAATTTGTAATCGACTCTTTAATTGGACGGTTACTAAAGTTTCTAATTAGTTTTTAGAAGTTAATTAGATTTTGAAAAAATCAAATGAATATTCTCAATATAAATATTCGTTATTTTATATCCTACAAGCAAATAGGTATATTTTTGGGACGCCAGATGTTATTTCTAGCGTTTTCTTAAAAATACTAATGACTAAACAAATTCTAGAGACGCCAAATTGGTGGTTCTCGCCCTATCATCACTGAGACCACAACAGCAAACTCGTGTTATTACAGAAAAAAGAAACGCTTTGTTTTTGAAAGACAGACGTTGTGAAATTCTGAGGCATTAAATTTTTAGTTTTTTAAAGCATTGTCTTTACTTAGACTAAACCACATCGTGAATCTTCACATAAGAGCCCTGGTTTTTAAAAACTATTCCATGTCGCAAATTTTTTGCGATTTATGAAAATATTAATATTGGCCCTTTTATCTCTTAAGCCTATATACATGTAAAAATATTTGTGCCTTGCCAGGCAGCAAACTAAAGTCACTATGACATCTTATTTTTGTTATACCCAACGTCACTTATCCTCTGAAAACTAACGTGATAATCAGAGATAAGCACATATCTTGATTACTATACGGTGCAAGAGAGAGGTCCGACACGCCCAACATAGGGCGCGGCTATTTTGATTCCTATGCCACAGTTTATAACTAAAGAATCAGATCGCTCACTCTGCGTCGGCACTTTTGATCTCAATGTTCTAGTTTATACATTGCGCAACTCGGATAATACAATATATGACAACCGCCTATAATAAAACAGCAGTCTTCTGCATATCCTGAATTTGTATCCCTGGAGTGGATGTTATTTTGGAACTTTCAACTGGTCCGAGTGAGCTAACTGATTCTTTAGCAATAAACTGTGACTCCAAAATTAATATTCACTGACACTGACAGCAGCAAGCAAAATATCAGGTGCGTTTTAACCATCCGCTTCTGCTTCCGGAATTGTCGGTTTAGTCGTTTTAACCTGTCAGATTAAAACAAGAAAACCGACAATTCCGAAGCAGAAGCGGATGATTAAAACGCACATATTAAAAATATTGCGCCAAGATGTATGCAACACGTAATAAGGGATCAAAATGGCGGAGTTTTCTATCTCCTTTTAAAAGGCACTCAGAAAGCTGCGCAGTGCGACCATTATCCGTATAGTAAAAGAAAATCAAAGTATGTGGAGATAAGGGACATAGTGATCGACGTCAATTTATCACACCCCAAATGACGTTTTTACCACGTCTTAATATGACGTTGTTTTTATGTCATCTTTGTCGTTATTTAAATGTTTCCTTTAGGGTATTCTTACCCTGTCTCCCGCAGTAGCCTGAAGCTGTTGTAGGAAACGTATAAATTAAAAAAAGAAGTGTAATGTCACCTATCACCCTACAGTATGCTGCGGTCGTCATAAGTTAAAGTACGAGTAAAAGAAGAAGATAAAAAAGTTTAGAAATATCCAGAAATGTCATCCCCTTTCAAGAATTATCTGGACGGTTCAAGAAAGAAAGTTCTAGAAGGTTTAAGCGAGCTATATAAGTCGATGATCCTGACGTCAGAGTTTCAGTTTTATGATAGACTTTCTAAGTTCATGTTGTCAGTTGTATATTTGAATTGTAAAATTTGAGTTGAAATAAATTGAGTTACCAAAAACCAGCGTAACATTTGTGACAGCGGTGGGATTTAAAATAAAAGTTCATGGTAAATCCTAGATCTACTGAATACGAAACAGGCATGGATACTGCAGGACCTCCAACATGGTTTTTAAAATGGAAGAGAAGAAGGAAAAGCTCAGGAAGAAAGAAGAGGAGGAAAAGAAAATGCAAGAAGAGGAGAAGAAAAGGCGCAGAAAGGAAGAAGGGGAGGAAAAAGAAAGGCACAGGAAGGAAGAAGATGAAAAGGAAATGCACAGGAAGAAAAAAGAGGAGAAAAAGAAAAGGCGCAGGAACATAGAAGGAGAAGAGGAAACGGAAAGGCGCAAGAAGGAAGAAAAAGAGGAAAAGGAAGGCGTAGGAAGAAGGAAGAGAAGGAAAAATAAAGGTGTAGGAAGAATGAGGAAAAAGAGAAGGAAGACAGGCGTAGAAAAGTTGAGGTAGAAATTATGAATAGTTTGCTGCAAACTCAAGAAAACCTTAAGCAAGAGGTAGGCCAGCTAAACAGTCGAGTAGATCTCTTAGCATGACAACAAGGTAATTTAAAAACTAATTTAGAAGAGCAGCAAGAAGATCTAAAAACTAATTTAGAGAATTTGAAAATAAAAGCTAATTTAGAGCAACAGCAAGAGAATTTGAAAGCTAATTTAGAACAACAAGAACAGAGTAGAGTTGTAAAGGCAAATAAGAACTTAAATGGCTGAGTTAGAGAGAATAATTCGTTGCCAACCTTGAGTAAGCAACATTGAAGCTGCGAACACGCCCTGATCTTTATTTATGACCGACCCAAGCCATATACGAACCCCAGTTTCACAAAACCATAGTAGCAAGACCCTTAAGTTTGACGGTCAGACAACATGAGAAACATATCGACAACAACTTGAAGCTGCAACTAGAGTCAATGGCTGGGCCGAGAAAGATATGGCGGCTTCATTGATTGTGTATATGCAAGGACAGGCAGCAACCGTTTTATAGTTACTTCCACAAGAAGAACCCAGTTATTCTTCTCTCGTCCAAGCTTTAGAGACAAGATATGGCCAGCAGCATATAAAACAGGTATTCCAAAAGTTCGTACACAATGAAAATCTACAAAAAATTGAAGCCGATATAAAAAGATTACTAAATTTGGCCTATCCACAGGCGCCCAAAGATTTCTTAAAACAAATCGATATACAGGCCTTCATTGATGGACTACAGGATCTAGAAATGCAGCAGGCTTTTTGGCTACAACACCACAGGACGTTAAGTGAGATACTGATTGAAGCCCAGGAATACGAAGCATCAAAATATATCTAGATCTTCTCGCGCATTATTGAGAGAAATTAGATTTGATCAAAGTGAAAAAGGCAACTAATACTATTTCTCAACGTACCCTCTCACAAATCTTAAATATCCTGCAAAATATGCAACGAAATAGCCAAAATGAGAGCAGAAGATGCTTAAATTGCGGAAGAATCGGTCACCTTCAAAGAACCTGTCGAAGCAGGGCTCGTTGTATAAATCGAGAATCGGGGAATGATTTCAGAAATTCACCTAAATCAACCTCTCGAAGCCCGTCACGAAGTCCAACATTAAATAATTACAGCAGATATGCCTCCCGGAGAAGCCGGTCATCCACACAATGAATGCTAGCAAGACCACTAAGCCACCCACGTTTGACGGTTAGACAACATGAGAAACGTCAGAGTTTCAGTTTTATGATAGACGTTACACCTTCATGATATCCTAGTAGAACAAAATTATGGACGTTTTATTGGAGGTTATTCTGTCGCGATATGTTAGAACTGTACAGAATTTCATCAAAATGGCTCTTGTGCTAGCGCTCCCTCGATGATTAAGTATAAATTTGTATTTACCTACATAAAGTTTTATTTATTTTTAAATTAATTTGGGTACACTGCTAAATCTAAATTAATATTGTTATATTCTCTAAAATAATGATAGATCGTAAGTAAATGTTAAACAAAAATAATAAAACTCGTATATCTATTTTTTAAAATAAATATTCGGTTCCTACTTAATCGACTATGGGTCCATCTATTAGTAAATAGAGAAATTACGTTCGTTATTCAGTTTCGACAACCGTTCGACGGTTCGGTAGAAGACGAGAAAATTATCAAAGACATGACTTGGACGCGACGGAGCTTGCTGCCATCTATTGATACTATCCATAGCCCTCCAAGATAATTTGCATTGGGATTGTTCTACTAGGTTATCTAAATACAATGGTTGAATTGTAAAAGTTGAGTTAAATTAAATTGAGTTACCAAAAACCAGTTTAACAATACAAATAGGCACTTACTATATCCTGGATGATGAATCTTTTTGTCACGTGGTGTATCATAAAATCCCCATGCATTTTAAGCGCTAAATTTAAAAGTTCTTAATTTTCTCTTAATGAACATATGGCATACATAAAATTTAAATAAGAAACAGCATTGAAGTTAAATCCCTCGTTAAATCCTGTTTTAGTGTAAATTTATACCTATGTATTAAAAGCTTAATAATAGGTACCTACTAAGGGGTGGGTGGCTCAGTGGTAGAGTCTCTGCCTGTCGATTCAAAGGTCCCAGGTTCGAATCCCACCGTTGGCCGGGATTTTTTTATTTAATTTAATTATTTAAAATTAATTCTGATGCCTTGGTAGGATTCCCCACTCGACCATTCACTGTTGGGTTCTAATTAACAGTACTATTCCCAAAGTGGCGCTGGGAAACAGTAACAAAGCCTACACAGAACACGAGGCTAATGGCCTTGGTAGTCGATACCGATGACACAAATTAAAAAAAAAATAGGTAACTACTTGTTAATAGACTTATGAATGTTAAAAATAGGTACTTGTTTAGGTCATTTAATTTAACATGAATAAAATGTATAGAAATACGTTTGTTATAAACCTTAATGTAATAATGATAATAAATTTACGTCATATGCACGTCGAATTTGTGAGATTAAAAAGACGTTAAAGAAGAGACGTCATATTCGCCTCATTTTTTAATAAAATTACATCGATGGCCAAGAACTACCAAAAAATGTCGTCAGTATGGCGTCAGTCTGTTGCGTTTTAGTCCTCAAATCTGTCTATGTAAAAATATTTGGCCCCTTTACTAGCCTTCCAATGTAAAAATATTTAGGCCCTTTGCCCCTTACGCCTACCCATGTAATAATATTTGGCCCATTTATACCTTATTAAGCCTGTCCATGTTAAAATATTTGATCCCTTTATTTCTTTTAAGCCTTACGCCTACCCATGTAATAATATTTGGCCCATTTATACCTTATTAAGCCTGTCCATATTAAAATATTTGATCCCTTTATTTCTTTTAAGCCAGCCCATATCAAAATATTTGATTCCTTTACCACTTTCGTCTCTACCTATATCTAAAAATATTTGAACTCTTTAAGTCAACCTAAGTAAAAATATTTGACCCCTTTACTGTCTACGTCTGCCTTTTTATCTCTTAAGCTCGCCTGTACAAAAGTATTTGGGCTCTTTATCCCTTATGCTTGCGCATGAAAAAATAATATTTGGAACCTTTATCACTTTGATCCTTCTGTTAAAAATCGTGCAAAAATCATCTTTAAAACAATTATTTTCACTTATATATTGCTTTTACGTACAATAAATAAAAATCTCTAAACGACGTTAAAAAAACTTTAAATAATTTATTTGATGTTTAGGAATATTGAAAAAAATATCTGTTTTCGCAGTCGACAAGCATGGACATCCATATAGTGAAATTAATATATTTGTTGCAGTATATAAAATAAGCTCCATAATAAATGCATTGTATTTTAAAAATATATTTAAAGCACTAAAGTTGAAAATTCTGAAAATGAATAGGGTTCTCAGAAGAAATTAACAAAGAAACTCGAAAATGCGAGTCAGTAGGAGCTTCCCTTCTAGAGTTATCGTGTCGGTGTATATACGCACAGAGGTACCTACATTTTTGGGTGTTTTTATCGTTTTTGTGGATGGATTTAAAATGATAGGAAAGGCGGCACGAATGCAATCCCAACAAACATTTTGTGTATGGGAATAAAAGGCTCACTAATTTTTCCCTTTCAATTATAATGATGGCCATTTAACTTTTAGAATGAAAATGCCGGCATATATGGGTCACTACGGCAGACAGCCGGGCCAAAATCACCATGAAATGCAGTTAATAGGCCTCCATTTTCCCTTTAATGTGCCAGGCACATGACCAGACAGGCGGTTCGATAATATATCTTTGACCAGTATAGAATTATTCATAAAATACTGAATAGTGAATACCAGCAATCCGATACTGGCCGCATATTACATGTCCACTCGTTTAGTATGTAGCAAGCGATCATCGGTGTCTCCGCCTATGAAAGCGGGACAGCTCTTCTGGACTGTTGGGGTTGGGTCTGCGGCAGTTAAAAGCCTTTTGACTTTTACCACCGAAAGACGAAAAAGTAGGATTTTCTTTTAATCGTCGCATTCATCTTCCCTTCAATTACAGCATAAGGCCAGAAGTATCCCGGCAATTCATTGTTTGTTGCGATACTTGTGGCCCCGTGATAAAATATAGGGTAATATCTTTATGATTTGTAGAAACAATCATTTGAACGGTAAAATGGGCGTAGTAATAGGTGATAAATTGTAAAGTTATTAAATTAATTTGTTAAACTTACCTCTCTAGTACACTCGATGCTGCAGTATCCTGCAGTCTTGTATTCATTCTGATAAGGAGGAATAAAATGTAACGTAGAAGGGGCCACTCCCGTTATTAAAATTCCTGCTTCATTTTCTCGAAGTTCACTAGTATAATGAAGTCTTAAACCGAAAGTGTCAGATGCGCTTTTCTTAGTCGGATTGTCAAAATGAACTTCGAGCATATAGAAAGAGTCCCTTTTTTCTGCAAGTGGCAGTCCAACATGTGAAGGAAAATTTTCTCCTAAAACAAATATCTTATTATAATTAAGAACGTGACTAATAAACTAAAGTAAATATATCACCCACAATTAAAATAAAAGATACATTTTTAGATAAAAGAAGTAGGAAAAATGTCAGTAGTCAGTGATCAGTCCCAGTGAGTAATAGAGAGTAATTTCAGGGTAGTTATTATTTAAATTATATAAAATTATTATTTATACCTTTATCATTGGGTAGTTATTTAGAGTTAAAAACAAATTAATTACCTACAATAAATTATAATATATTTAATTTTTTCTTTAATTTTCAATTCTCATTTGAAACTGTAAATGTTTTTTTTTTAATTTGGTGTTATCGGCATCGACTACTAAGGTCATTAGCCTCGTGTTTTGTGTACGCTTTGTTACTGTTTTCCAGCGCCACTTTAGGAACAGCACTGTTAATTAGAACCCAACAGTGAATGGTCGAGTGGTGAATCCTACCAAGGCATCAGAATTAATTTTAAATAATTAAATTCTGTAAATGTTAAATACATTTTTGTGTGTGTTTAGTTTTATTATTTTAAATTTAAGAAAATTAAAAATTAAAAAGTGTGTTATCGAAAAAAGCACGATAGAAGTAAAATACTCTAAATGGGACTTCAAGTGGAACTAGGCTGTCGAGAGATATGATTCACTCATCATGTTTTTCATGCCATGGCGAGACATAATTTATTTATTTTTATTTATTTATTTTTATTTATTTTTATTTATTTTTATTTATTTTTATTTATTTTTATTTATTTTTATTTATTTTTATTTATTTTTATTTATTTTTATTTATTTTTATTTATTTTTATTTATTTTTATTTATTTTTATTTATTTTTATTTATTTTTATTTATTTTTATTTATTTTTATTTATTTTTATTTATTTTTTATTTATTTTTATTTATTTTTTATTTATTTTTATTTATTTTTATTTATTTTTATTTATTTTTATTTATTTTTATTTATTTTTATTTATTTTTATTTATTTTTATTTATTTTTATTTATTTTTATTTATTTTTTATTTATTTTTATTTATTTTTATTTATTTTTATTTATTTTTATTTATTTTTATTTATTTTTATTTATTTTTATTTATTTTTATTTATTTTTATTTATTTTTATTTATTTTTATTTATTTTTATTTATTTTTATTTATTTTTATTTATTTTTATTTATTTTTATTTATTTTTATTTATTTTTATTTATTTTTATTTATTTTTATTAATTTTTATTTATTTTTATTTATTTTTATTTATTTTTATTTATTTTTATTTATTTTTATTTATTTTTATTTATTTTTATTTATTTTTATTTATTTTTTTTTATTTTTATTTATTTTTATTTATTTTTATTTATTTTTATTTATTTTTATTTATTTTTATTTATTTTTATTTATTTTTATTTATTTTTATTTATTTTTATTTATTTTTATTTATTTTTATTTATTTTTATTTATTTTTATTTATTTTTATTTATTTTTATTTATTTTTATTTATTTTTATTTATTTTTATTTATTTTTATTTATTTTTATTTATTTTTATTTATTTTTATTTATTTTTATTTATTTTTATTTATTTTTATTTATTTTTATTTATTTTTATTTATTTTTATTTATTTTTATTTATTTTTATTTATTTTTATTTATTTTTATTTATTTTTATTTATTTTTATTTTTTATTTATTTTTATTTATTTTTATTTATTTTTATTTATTTTTATTTATTTTTATTTATTTTTATTTATTTTTATTTATTTTTATTTATTTTTATTTATTTTTATTTATTTTTATTTATTTTTATTTATTTTTATTTATTTTTATTTATTTTTATTTATTTATTTTTTATTTATTTTTATTTATTTTTATTTATTTTTATTTATTTTTATTTATTTTTATTTATTTTTATTTATTTTTATTTATTTTTATTTATTTTTATTTATTTTTATTTATTTTTATTTATTTTTATTTATTTTTATTTATTTTTATTTATTTTTATTTATTTTTATTTATTTTTATTTATTTTTATTTATTTTTATTTATTTTTATTTATTTTTATTTATTTTTATTTATTTTTATTTATTTTTATTTATTTTTATTTATTTTTATTTATTTTTATTTATTTTTATTTATTTTTATTTATTTTTATTTATTTTTATTTATTTTTATTTATTTTTATTTATTTTTATTTATTTTTATTTATTTTTATTTATTTTTATTTATTTTTATTTATTTTTATTTATTTTTATTTATTTTTATTTATTTTTATTTATTTTTATTTATTTTTATTTATTTTTATTTATTTTTATTTATTTTTATTTTTTTTTTTATTTATTTTTATTTATTTTTATTTATTTTTATTTATTTTTATTTATTTTTATTTATTTTTATTTATTTTTATTTATTTTTATTTATTTTTATTTATTTTTATTTATTTTTATTTATTTTTATTTATTTTTATTTATTTTTATTTATTTTTATTTATTTTTATTTATTTTTATTTATTTATTTTTATTTATTTTTATTTATTTATTTTGGCACCGACGATGCACGAACGACAATGGTACAGTCGGAATGAGACTCCTAGGCTATCGAGGTGTTGGAACATCAAAATATGTCGTTGTTGAGATATCAGGACATTTAGATATGTCGTTGCAAGGGACATCTGAGTATTTCACTCACAATTCACTCCTCATATTTTTCATGCCGGAGCAAGCGAGAAGTGTACACATTATATTTTATATGCCAGAGCGAGTCGTAAGAAGTGTTTTACTTTAATATATATCTCTACTTTTAGATTTATCTTACCTTTAGATCCAATGGCCCAAGATACTAAAGGTGTTAAACACTTATCCCACAAAGTTGCTCTATTCGAATGACATAACTTTCCATCCTCTTTGGCAAATTGTTCCCAAATAGCTAGATCCTCGTCATCATCTAATTCACATTCATGCATGACAATATGGTGCACCATACTTGAATAGTGTTCTCCAATAAGTGGTTCAAATCCAATTATATGATGCTTGGAGTTTAACGTGGGAGCTTTAAATACTTTACACCAATACAATGTTGTCATTTCTTGTGGGATATTGAACTAGAAATGTAGGAACTGTATTTTATATTTATACTAAGAATAAGTTATCTAAGTAGGTACTTCTTTTCCTATAGATTTCAGATTTCACAAAATATATCAGATGGTAATTTATTGAATCTCGTTTATTTATATTTGTGGATATTTTTCAATGAATGTGAAATTAACAACTGTTATAGTTATCCTGTAAAGTGTTTTATTTATTTATTTAAAAAATTCTTACGTTTTCGATCACCACATCCCAGTGACTAGAATGACCTAAATTCATTTTTGGTACAGGTGGGGGACTTAACAGATGAAGGCTCTGTGATCCTCTTTGATTGCCATGATACACCATTTCGCCACCTATTTGAGGATCATGTTCATGCAAGGCCCATATTACTCGAACTGTATCACTCTGGAATAAAAAAAAGTATTGTAGTAATTTCTTGGAGGTCGTTTATTTAACTGTCAATTTAATACAATTAATGGTTACTTAAAACTGAACCTTGGCCAATAGGGATACTGATGAGTACATAATTCTTGTGGATTACTGTTCTAGTATTTATAGTTGTTTGTATTAAACAATAAGTCAACTGTAATGGGACCCAGAGACAAGATAAAAAAGGATGTCATTACGACGCATCTCGATAATAAGGCACACGGATATAGAATTAAAAATATTGCTAAGAACTTACTGTATTACTGTATCAGAATATAGTAATACATTTTTTTATCTTTCTCTACCTTGTGAGATGAACCGATAAAGGAGAACTGGACTATTGCATCGACGGCAATGAATTCAAAGAGTGAGGAATAAATTTAGAAAGTATGAAGAGCCAATGTCGGCGTTATATGTGGTTAATTATATGTTAATTAGGTTATTTTAAACATTAAATGTCTGATAGGAACATTATCAAAATCGAAATCCTTGAATAACATTTCAATTCCTATGATTAATTATATCAATTAATAAATGTAATAAATCTTTCTTCAAAGCGTAAACAAATCATGAAAGGAGGGTTTTGATAGGAAAATTTGGACGGTCTCTGACAAAAATTTAAATCTTTTAAATGCTTAGAAACGAGTAATGTAAATAAATTCAATGTAGCAACGTTTCCCCACATAACATCAATGTTCTATGAATATACCAAGAACGGTCTGTTTAAGTTCTTTTTAGTATATCCTTTTAGAATGTTCTTAGAACATACCTAGAATATTCTTTGAAAGTATATTCTAGAAAGTATATACTGAGTACGTGCCTTAAAAGTATATTCCAAAAAGTATATACTGAGCACGTGCTATAACAGGACATTCTTAGAATATACTAAAAGTCATATACCCACCATGTACCTCATATTCTGAAAATGTTATAAATGCTTGCAGGTAAAAATTAACACCAAATACATGTAAAAACAAATTTATATACATATCTATATGGATTTTTCCCAGATGCCGATCTAATAATTCGCTACCAAACGCACTAATGTTGAATGTTTAGGCCAAAAAACATTCTCAAACTAAAATAGAAGAAAAGAAGAATAACATAACCTACAATTCCTACAAATTTTTTTGATCTCGTTTGGTTGTACGAGGTAAGTCAATTAATAAAAATTAATTGCATCGTATGTTCTATATGAAAATAAACAAATTTTACTATATTTATAGTTTTTAGGACCTATAAGTGACGTTAGAATACAGGATATCCCAAATATTAATTGCCAGTATGAATTTATTAATATAGTTAATACTAATGGTGGATTGAAACTAAAATACAGTGTTACCAGAATTACATACACACTTTCTATGAAAAAAATCCTGTAAGGCCAGATATTGACCTGGAAGAACTAGAAAAGTTTTCTAAAGGAGGACGACAACTACAAAATGGTGGTAATTAACAAAAATATATTTAAACTTTCAGTAAACATCATAATCATTTATGTAACTCTTGTTTTTGTTAGTGGAATGCCATGTACAATTTTTAATGTTTTATGTTCGACAAAAATATTTAAAATATTCCATTAGCTATGTACACTTAATCTGTATATGTACCAAGTTTGTTAATTTTTTTATTTTTTAGGTTCAATGAAGATCCAATGGAATCAAGCAAATGAAACTCAACCCATTGATACAATAAAATATTGATTGGTTAAGGCCAAAGATAGTATTTGTAATAAAAATAAGTATGAATTCTTTGAAATAAAGACTCATTATATACACTTATTCTTTAATGTTCAATATTAATTAAACATCCTGTATTATGGTGTCTAGTATATGCCTAGCATATGCTATATTTAAATACTTAGCATATGCTTAGAACGTGCTATCAAATTAAAGTAGATACCTGTTGCATACTGTACACATACTTGAAGTATATTCTCAGTATCTGCATACCACGTATAAACAACGTCACGTAGCATATGCTTAGCATATTCTGAGAATGTACCAAATGCAAATACAGTATATTCTCAGCATATGCGTATTCTTAAAAAGTATATACTAAGAATATGCCAAGAATGTATAATTGTTATCTGGGTTCGTTTTAATTATTTTAATGACTAATTGTCAGAAGTGACATTGACTAATTTCAGCTTATGCCAAAAAGTCTTGGACATCCACCTTTGGTTTTATATTATCCTCATAAAAATCTAGCACAACCTTTTTCACCAGACGTAGGTTAAGTTTGCCCCCTAAAATCAAATTAAGTGGCTCTGATATTTGCATCTCTCCCCAACACAAGTATCTAGGTATGATTTTAGACAAAAAATTAACCTGGACGCTTCATATCAACCACATTATCAAAAAGTGTGAAAAGGCCCTGAATATGCTGAGATGTATTACTAAGGTGAGATGGGGTGCCGACCCAAAAATAGCACTTATGTTCTACAGGTCATATATACGCTCTATCATTGATTATGGATGCTGTTTATACGGTTCATCGTCAAAATCGAACCTAATTAAAATAGACAGAATACAATATCGTTCTGTGAGAATATGCATAGGAGCTTTTAAATCTTCGCCATGTCCTGCAATTTTAGCCGAAGCACAGGAACCACCTCTCTATATTAGAAGGTCGTTCTTAGCTAGTAAATTTTTTGATCAAGGTTAGAGCGTGTGACACACATGATCTCTTATCCAAAATTTATAATCTCTCAGTTCATGTTTTAACAAACCCTTATTGGAGAATAAAATCGTCTCCTTCTCTAGCAACCGCCTTTACTGAAACATCTACATTTAATATTAGTTAATCTAAAAATTTTCCTCTATTTTCTATGAAAGTAAATGAGATTGTCCATAAACCAAAAGTTATTTTCCTCTCTTACACTGATATGCCTTCTGGAAACAATAATATAGTAAAAGATATTTTAAATTCATATAACAACTATATAACTATATACACTGATGGATCTAAAAACGAAGATGGTACAGGCTGTGCATTCTACGCGCCTCACACCAAAGAATATGAGACCTACAGGCTTCCAAACTATTGTTCCATTTTCACCGCAGAACTTTATGCGATAGAAAGAGCTCTCGTGGGCAATTTCAGAGAAAATTATTAATGTTATCATATTATCCGATTCTAGATCATCGCTTGAATCCATTACTCACAATATGCTTAAAAAATTTATCTTTAGTTGTACCAAATATATACAGGCTAGAACAAACTTATTTACTACCCTAACCAAATTAAATATTCAATACCCAATAAATATCATATACCTACTAAGCCACAACTCCAAAAATATAAACGATGCCCTTATAGACTTTCTTAGAGAATGTAAATTAACCATTTGAATTTTCTATCATTATAATTATCTGTGGCAAATGGTTTATCCAATGCCATCCTTTTTCCCTTCACACACACATAGTTCTAGGAATGTGTGGACATCTCTGCTCTGTAATATGGTTTTTGTCATACGGAAGGCATCAGCCAGGAATTCATTATCCGTCAAGAGATATGGCAAATAATTGAAATGACGTGGCTATTGCTAGACCACTTTAAAAAGTTTGTTTTTGCTTTAATTTAGTTAAGTAGATAGTATTAATTCAAGTCCACTTTAATGTTGGTAGTTAGCATGGTCTTTCTGAACACATTTAACCCTAAATGAGATGTTTTATAACAATAATTTTTTTATTATGTACTTAGTAAGTAGTACTAAATTCGGCAGATGTTTCTGATGTTCTAAGACAGGTACACCTAACACGTACAAAGCAACTAAAATTTGCCGTATTTTTTGTGTAACTGTTGAGTTTCAAAAATAATAAATACAAGAAATTGAAAAATAAAAACTCACCGATAGAACGTAGTCATCGGGATCGCAGGTGTCAAAAGCTCTTCGGAACTCGATCACTGTATGCGTATCGTTCTGTAAGCCCCTCATTAGCGTATAATTATCAATTTGATCCCTTACTGGAGCACTTCCCTGGATAGCGGGCACTCCATGGCAGTCCTGAAATTAATAATATTTTAAAATTCTAACATTTTTTATTTGATAAATCAAAATATATTTCTTTAACTGCCTCTATCTGCTCAACGACAGCTGTAGTGCTCATATGAACTGCACAGTAATTGGTCCGTAGACCTAAAAATTAACACAAATGCACCAGATAAAGAAAATACGCCTCATGATATCACAGAAAAGGCTAACATATTACTCTTCACGCACGCACGCGCGCGTCCGCATACACACACACACACACACACACACACACACACACACACACACACACACACACACGCGCGCGCACTAACGCATGCACTCGCACACCCTCGCACCCGCATGTACCGACGCATGCGCGTACACGCACATGCACAGGCACAGGCACACGCACACACACACACACGCGCACGCACGCACACGCACACACAGTAGTCTGTGAAGAGTATTATAGGTTTAAACCAAAATATTTAAAATTTAATCTAAATTTTAATTTTTGTATCAAATTTTAAATAACTTTTAATAATGTCCGTCCGTCTGTTGCCACGTTTTTTGTTCGCACGATAAATCAAAAACCAAAAACGATATAAACAAGAAATTTTTAGTAAAAATCAAGCTCCATAAGGGGATTAAGCCTATTGATTCTGAAAAAATTAGAATAAAAATTGGGTTTAAGGGGGGGGGGTTAAAATATTAAAACTTAAAAACGAAAAATAATATCACCTTGAAATTTTTAGCAAAAATCAAGCTCTACGGGGACGAAGCCTATTGATTTTGAAAAAAATGGGGGTTAAGAAGGTTGCAATTTGAAAAAAAAAAATCAAAAACCAATCAAAAACAAAAACGATATCCTTATGAAATTGTTAGTAAAATCAAGCTCTGTAAGGGGATGAAGCATATTGATTCTGAAAGAAATTTGAATAGAACTGAGGGGTAAAAGGGAGCTTGAAAAATTAAAACAAATCCTAACTCATAAAAAAACAACATCAACTTAAAATCTTCAGGAAAATCAAGCTCTGTAAGCAGAGCCGCCGAGAGCCAGGACGGGCCCTTGGACAATTTTCTAGGTCGGGCCCCGCGACAATTTTATAAAAAAATTAAGCCCTTTCCATATCACATTTCTAAAAAAAACTTCTCCTCCTTTTTAGTGAAATATCTAAAAAAAAAGTCCTCTCTCTTGTGATCTTGTAGCGAACTAAAAAAATTAAAAAACGTCCTCACGTAAAGCGCCGGGCCCCCCTCTTATGCCACTGCCAGGCCCCCACTTGAGCCCGGGCTCCGGGAATTGGTTCCGGCTACCCCCTCTCAACGGCCCTGTCTGTAAGGGGCTGAAGCTTATTAATTCTGAAAAAATCTGATTTAAAATGAGGGGGTTAAGGGGGGTCTGTTAAACTGTAAGAAAAATATAACATAATAGGAGTATTGTATATCTTCATTCTAGTTATATGTTAATAAAAAATATACATAATTGTTCTAATTAATTAAATTAATTTGTCTTATTTTTAAAAATTTTTAAGTATACATAAAATTAGAAACATGTTAAGCACCTGAATAGTTGAGTATTTTGAAGTTACGAGGTTTGATAATTAGGGTAACGTTGTGCTATTTCAAGCGTAAACTTAGGTACTATTATATATTCTTTTTTACTTCCTTTTTTAAGTTAATTTGATTCTCGTTTTTATTTTTATTCGGTTTCCATTACTTTCTTTTAAAAATCATGAAAATACATGCGATGTTTAAAATATCAAATATTTTATCAGAGATAAGAATTCGGTAAGCCTATGCGTCTCGGACGGTTGAAAGAAAATCATGTTTTTGTTAAAAATATTCATAAAGTACGTATATCTTGGTTATAAAGAGCGAAAAACCTATTAAATATGGGTTATTTGGAAGCATCTCGACGCCCTATATATTCAATAATGGCGATTTAAAAAAGAAACGCTTTCAGAAACTCATGAACCAGAAAGCATTTTGTGCCAGGTGTAAAAACATCTGCGCGGCATGGTAAGCAAGGAACCCGCCGGATCCAACGGCATATGGTTTGGTTTTACAATAAATGAGTGTGTGCTAGGAAAGAGGGACAGACATTGAGAGGTCTTAACGACCAGCTGCTTTTGCATAATAAACATTTAATACCAATAATATATTGTATAAAAAGTTAGTCGTCAATTGCAGAATTACAGAAAAGGAGAAAAATAATTAATTGCAAATGTTTTATTTCGAAATTGACATCCGTTTTAAAATAATCGTATATTAATGTCCCCTTAAGAATGGGACATAAAACTGAAGATTCTAATTCAAAATGAGACCATTAAACGAAACATGCTTGGTTAAAATGTTTCTCGTTTCCGAAATACTGGGTGTTGAAAATTTAAAAATTATTAATGACTATAATTTTTTTATTAGGTACTTAGTAAGTAGTACTAAATTCGGCAGATGTTTTTGGTGTTCTAAGACAGGTACACCTAACACGTACAAAGCAACTTAAATTTGCCAGTAGTGTACGGCAATTTAAAATTTAAAAAAAAATAGTGTTTACCTTTGAGTGCGAATATCTCAAAAACCAATCCCAACAAGAATATGGTATATGATATACTTTAAAAATGTCAAGAATTTTTAAATTAAAGTATAATTGGTGGTTGGACAGTAGCGTAACATTTAGAAGGAATGAAGGTGTTACTTAACTGTTGTATGTCACTGATAAAATTTAATTAACTGTTTTTTTGCTCTTAGGTGTAGGGCCATTTATGAAACAGTGAGCAAACTAGATGCAATAAACCACTCCCTCCATCAATTTCCTTTAAACTACATAATAAAACATGGCCTGCGTTTAGTAAACAAATATTTCTAGATGTTTGTGTAGCATCGAGATTGGTGAAGGATTGCAACAAATTAGTCATAAATAAATATAATATTTATGGCGAAAGCACGGAAACTAAACTTAAATTAACATTAAAGAAACTCAAAAACACTATTATAATGATATCTAAAAACAGTTAAAAAAAAACACAAATACAAAATCCCGCCCAAAACAATGTAAGTAAGCAAATATATTACTTATAGGTGGCAAATGACAGGCGCGCCAAAATTAATTAAAATCGCGAATTCTTCTTGTTTTTTTTTTTTTAAATAACGGTTTTTATTTGATTCAGAAACGTCTCACATGCATGACCCGTAGCTCTGTATTTGCGGTTACGGCCTCTACTTCACATGAATATAAAACAATTTCTACTGTTGCATATGTAAAAGATGTGTCTACAAAACTAGTACCTAATAAATACATTGAAGTTAGTTGATTGAAAAAAAAAAAAATACTGGTATATTACAAATTCACAGTACTGAAAAACCATTTAAGTGTGACATTTGCTCTAAAACATTTTAAATGTAAATCTAGTTTGCAGAAACATATAAAAGTAATTCACACTGATGAAAAAGTATTTAAATGTGAAATTTGTTTTAAAGAATTTAAAAAAGATTCTTATTTACAACGACATTTAATAACTCACACTAATCAACAACCTATAAGTGCGACATTTGTTCCAAAGAATTTAATCGAAAAGGTCTCTTTCGACAACATTTAATAAATCACAGTAACGAAAAACCATTTAAATGTGACATTTGTTCCAAAGACTTTAATCGAAAAGGTAGCTTACAACAACATTTAATACCTTCATCTTCAAATATATCACCGATAAAATTAAGTTTTCTTGACTTGTCAACAGGAAGATGGGCACTATCCATAACATTACTTTTATCACTATTCCTAAGAAAGCTGTTGGATGAGTTTGAAAAACTATTGTATTCTTTGTCCAATTCATCACGACTCTTTAATTCGTTATTTTTATGCAACATTCTCTTAATTCTAACTTTCAGCTGATGATATCTATGGTTATTTTTTTCTATATGTTTCAAAGTACTTTCTATATATTGGGCGTTCTGTTCCAACGGATCTTCTTCTGTAGCACATGTGGTCAATTTTAAAAGGAATATAGTTAGAATGAAGAGGTTTGACCAATTGAAAATCATTTTCTTCGGGAAGTTTGCCGAATGTCAAATTTGCATATCTGGAAATAATTATAAAAGATTACCAGAAAGTAAGGAATACGTATAAAATTAATATAATAGGTATATTGTTACTGGAGTTGAACGACGTTTAGTTAATTTTTTTTAATTAATAGAAATTACAACTTCTAATCAAAATTATAGGCTGAAAGCCAGTGATCCCTTGGTATACGACATGGGTATAGTTTGCAGTTTAAGATTTTTCTTAATATGGTACACTCAAGTAGGTACGAAATTTTTCTACGGCTGCCATACAAAACTGCACTTTTCAATTACCTATTGTTGATTAGAAAATAAGGTAACTTATTTGGACTCTAATTTTGATTTTTTTTTAATAAATCACGTTACTCTCATTGGGAAATTATAAAAAATCCAAAATTACAAAATAAAAATGAAGGATATTCACCTTTAAGTATGAATATCTCGAAAATCAATCACATGAATTATTGAAAAAAATTATCAAAAAAATTTAAATTATATTCCAAATTGGTTTTTGGACCGTGGCGTAAAATTTAGAAGGGATGAAGGTGCAACTTATCCATGCCGTACGCCACTGGCAAAGTGTATTTCACTGATTGTTTCGCTGATAGGTGTATCTTATAATAAAAAAACGTTTGCCGAGATTATAGCCCAAGAGCCCACTGCAAATATTTACCGTCATCTGATAACGAAATGAAATATACCCCAAAAGCATGAAAAAACATTGTACTTTACCAAATGGCACCTGTGCCAATCCCAATCCTGAGCAAAGTGGCTTAAAAAAATTATTTTATATTAAAAAAATCACATAAGGCATGACAGCGCTAATTTTGTTTGCCCTTAAAGTTTTCCAGCAAATAACATTCAAATATATCTTGATACATATCGTTAAAGGGAAACATTTTCTTCCTCTTAACATCGCACAAAAGGGCAGACACGAATTGAGAACCAAAATGAAAATATTAAGAGGGTTTATTTTTGTACCTGAAAATATGACACGAATT